TATATTTTTTCTACAGAGACTGAACCAGATGAAATCCTACCAATGGTGAATGACGGTTCCTATTCCGCAACCAAATTGCTGCCAGGTTGTTTCCGGTCTTCTGATAGATGACATTCTCAGTGGCGTGAGGTGATATCTCATTATTGTTTGGTTCTGGTTCCTTGGTTATATGTGATGAGGAGCACTCTTTCATATGCCTACTGGCCACCTATATGTCCTTTCCAAGAAAATACCTTTTCATCGCCTATCCCCAACTTTTTATGTCTTGTGTTTATGAGTGCTTACTATGTACTGGATATTCTTTTATCTAATGCAGTTTTTTCCCCATTCAGTAGGATATCCTAACTTAACCTAAATTTCTTTTGCCATACAATATCTTTCCAGTTTAACATTGTCCCACAGGTTTAATGTTTTGCTTTTGTTTTCTTCGCCAATCACAGAATCACAAGGTATCTCTGAGGTCTGAAGGATATAGACTTAGACTTCTCATGGGATTTTTCTTCCGACATTCTTCTGGTGTCTGCAAATGCAATGGCAGCCGCCAAGGAAAAGCATAATGATAAATAAATAAATAGCTGGTTCTGTTGTCATATCTCATTCAGCATTAAAAGTCAGCTAATAGAGGATGTGGTAAGAGGGGGGAAATGGTTTTAGCAATTCACCCCTTACTAATGTAAAGTGTCAACATAAGAATTTTTGAAATGTAGAATGTGATTTGTATCTTGACAGTGTTTCTTTGAGGTCTTCTGGGAACAAATCTTCTTAAATTATTGAGAGATTCTGATTTACAAAAGCACATAGTTTATTCCTCATCAGGAGAGCAGAGTGGTTAGTCAGGGAAAGGAACTGCCTTTGGTTTCTGGATGTAGCTGGAAAGGCGGGTCTGCACAGCAGCCACCTTAAGGAGCTTGCTGGGACACTGGACCTTTGGCTAAATATGCAAACTAGAGGTTTTTAAGCAAAATTCCCAAGACATTCCATTTTCCCAAATAGCTTAAGTTAATGTGAAGTAAATTAAAATCAAAAAAGAATGGGTTCTCTTGTGATTTTAGTACTGGAAAACATATGTAAGTTTGCCATTTCATATGGGAATTTGCCCCCTAGTATAATGATTGTTTTCATTAAATGTAAAAAGTGAGATTTTGTACATTCGAAAGTTTAGGGTTTAGGGTGGGCTGGAGAGATAGTCCAGGACTTAAGGGGCACAGTTTGCATATGGCCAACCCAGATCAGCCCCCAGCATAGTGGGGTGTGGTCCCTCAGCACCCCAAGGCCTGAGCAGAAATGCATCCTGGGCTCATGACTAAGAAGTGCTGGGAAGGACCTTCAGGCCTCCTGAGCATGGATTACTGGCAATGGAAAAGTCTGCCTGATACTTTACTGTAGCACTGTAGCACTGCAGCACTGTCGTCCTGTTGTTCATGGATTTGTTTGAGCGGCAACAGTAACGTCTCCATTGTGAGACTTGTTGTTACTGTTTTTGGCATCTCGAATATGCCACGGGTAGCTTGCCAGGCTCTGCTCTGTGGGCGGGATACTCTCAGTAGTTTGCCGGGCTTTCCGAGAGGGACGAAGGAATCAAACCTGGGTCGGCTGCGTGCAAGGCAAACGCCCTATAGTTAAAAAAAAATAATAAAAACATTTTGTTTTTGTATTTTGTCCACACAGTGCTTCCAGAAGTGATTCCTGGGTGCAGAGACAGGAGTAAGCCCTGAGAAACTGGTATATAAATGAAAGGGGCCAGGGACAAGGCTTAAGATCATCCTGAATTCAGCCCCTAGCACCTGGGGGTGGGCCCAAATAAGCCCCCAGCCTGTACAGACCCACCAGGCCCACTCTGCTGGTGGCACCTCACAGCTCCCCAGGCACCTCTGGGGGTGACAATGCTATAAAGCAATTCAAAAAGAAGTCTAGTGGGGAACCTGTTAAGCAGAAGCTGTAGAAATACCAGATGTTGGGGCCTGAGAGTGGCTGAGTGGCTCCAAGTTTTTGCCTTGGCAGCATGAGGCCGTGAGTTTGAACCTGGGTGCAGCCCACATGTGCCAAGCATGGTCTTACCGACTCTGCTCCCTGGGGCCCTGAGCTGGGGAACAGCGTGAGGGCTCGGAGACACAGCCAGGACCAGCGACTGTGCAGCACGACCCGATGCGGGACCTCGTGAGCAGAGCAGCCGAGGCTGCGACCGCCTGTTCTAGCACTGCAGCTCCTGTGCCAGCCCCTCGCCTTAGCGTGGGAGCACAGACCCAAAGGCACTGTGCCAGGCACGCACCATGGCAGCAGTAGGGGAGAAGGGTTTTCTAGGCTTTTACACCAGACTCTACCTTCTGGTGGGTTGGTTTGGGGGCCTCCGAGTGTTCAGGACTTAACCCTGGCTCTGTGTGCAGGGGACTATATGTGGTGCTGGGATTCCAATTACGGGACACTATGTGCAAGGCCAGCATTCAACATTGACCCGACTTTCTCACTATTCCCTACAAAGAACATTTTCTTTGTAGTCAGACAGATTTTCTAAGTTCTAAATCACCTCCACACCTATGAACAAAGAAACTTTTTTTTCTTTCATAAAAGGGCTTTTTTTCCCTTTTTTTTTTTCATAAAAGGGCTGGAGTGATAGCATAGCGGGTAGGGCATTTGCCTTGCACGCAGCCAACATGGCCGACGCGAGTTCGATTCCTCCGCCCCTCTCGGAGAGCCCGGCAAGCTACCGAGAGTATCTCGCCCGCACGGCAAAGCCTGGCAAGCTCCCAGTGATGTATTCGATATGCCAAACACAGTAACAGCAAGTCTCATGATAGAGACGTTACTGGGCCCGCTTGAGCAAATCGATGAACAACGGGAGGACCGTGACCATGGGCATAAAAGGCAAAAACTGGGGCCGAATTGATAGTACAGTGAGTAGGGCATTTGCCTTGCACGGGGGCAACCCAGGTTCGATCCCAGGCATCCTAAATGGTCCTCTGAGCCAGGCCAGGAGTGATGCCTGAGAGCAGAGCCGGGAGTAAGCCCTGAGCACCACCAGGTGTCCTTCCCCACCCTAAAAGACATGAAGAAGATCTTGAAAGGAGCTCTCTGCTTGACTGCTGGAAGCAACAGAGACTGTTGGGGGCCTGCAGGGGGTGCAATCATCGGTGTCACAGTCAGGACGACCTCACCAGCAGGTGCTCACTGTGTCCACTCCCCTTCCTTGGGTGAAGAAAGGTATTTGAGCACCCCTCCTCCTTCAGACATTTCCTCAGTACATCGTGATGATGGCTTCTTTTGAGATTGTGGGCAGAAAATCTTGTAACTCAGTGTCACTGGTCAGAGCTGCCAAGGTTTGAAACTCTTGGAGGTCAAGATAGGGGTTCTTTGATCTAATTGAGTCACCTGGATTCTGGCTGAGGGTCCTCCAGTATAAAATGGTGTTAAAAACATTGCTAAATGTTTACGACAACAGCTGGTGAGGAGTAAGGGCTTGTGTGCATGCAGGGACGAACACATGCACATAGGCATGCATGCAGGCACAGAACAGGTACGCACACAGGTATACACATAGCACTCATGCACACAGCATGCATGTACGAGGAAGGCACGTAGGTATGCACACAACATGCACACACTATGTAAACCACTTCATTGCAATTTAGATACTACTGCAGGCGCTGTGTTCAGTGACCATTGCGTTCTTTTCTCCTTTCTTCACTTTCCTTCCTGTCTGGTAAGCATATATTTTAAAGTTCTTTTATTGAAACATTACTTGTCAAAATTATTTTTTAATTTTCTCTTCATCTTTGAAGAGCCACGGTAGGAGAATTGGGAACACTAAGCCCTGTGAATTACAGGAAAAAGGAAATGCAGGGCCCTGCAGAAATAAGAAGAAATGACTCCTAATTTATTCAACAAAGAGAGAAAACAGAAGAAAATATTCCGGATTGAGTTAAGGTCAGGCAAAACTGAAACCGTCGGTGGGTTTCAAAGATGCAGAGGATGAATGACCAAGTATCGCCTTAAAAGATAGGTAGTTGAAGAGTTTGAAAATAATGACCCAACATCATAAAAATTAATTTCCTTAGTTTAGTATCGGAAGGAAATCCAGTAGCTGGGTGGGTGCGTGGAGGCACACCCGGCGGGGCCCCAGGTCAGTCCTCGGTGCCATCAGCACCACGTGGTGCCAGGGATGGGACAGGCTTCCTGCGTGTGCTCCAGCTAGTTTGCATCCTTCCGACATTGGGCTGGCGCTTCCTGCCCGCAGCATCACCTGCTGAAGTTGGAGGTGTGGGGTTATGCGAGATGGCCAGAAGTAGATGACAAGTGGTTTTCACTTTATTTCTGGAACGTGTTTCTGCAGAACCCTGCATTTCCTTCTTCCTTCTAACGCCAAAGCCCCCAAACATAGTCTAAAATGCAAAAACAGTGCTGGAGCAACCGGACAGCGGGAAGGCGCTCACCTTGCACGTGACCACCCGGTTTGCTTCCCGGCATCCCATAGGGTCCCTGGGGCGCCACCAGGAGTGATCCCTGAGCACAGAGCAGGAGCAATGCCTGAGCACCGCAGGGCGTGGCCCCCAAACCAGTCTCATAGACAATGGCAAGGGGAAAAACCCACCGTCGCCAGCGCAGAACTATCTGAAACATCCCCCAACACCTTTCAAGATACACCCGCACGGGAACCTGCTTCAGTGGAAACTGCCGTGCACGCGGGGACCGCCAGCTGCGCCCGTGTCACTGGACTCCGCCAGCAGCTGTCTGTCCTCCTGTGCCCTTCCCCGAGCGGCCGCGCGCGTCTCTCGGGGGCTCCGTGGCCCGGGCCGGCCCGCCGACAAAGTTTGGCCGAGCTGCTCGGCGCGGGGCGGGGACGGTCGGGGCGCGGCGCGGCGCGGGGCAGGTGGCGGCGGCGGCGGCGGCGGCGGTGGCGGCGGCGGCGGCCGGGCAGGAAGCGGCGGCGGCGGGCGCGGCCGCGGCGAGGGCCCCGCCCGGGCTGGGCTGCCGCCGAGCGTGACGCGAGAGGCGGGGTCACGTGACGCCCGTGGAATGCCAACAATGTAGCGAATGTCCCACTTGGGTCTGCGCGCTGGCTGCGCGGCGTGAGCCCCGGGAAGATGGAGCCGCCGCCGCCCCGGGCCCCGCGCGCCCCCCGGGGACAGCCGTCGCCGCGGCCCCCGGCGCCCGGACTCCCGGCGCGCGACTGCCCGGCCGGGCGGGCGAGGACGCCGCGGAGGGCGTAGACCGCGCCCCGGAGGTGAGGCGGGGCGGGGGCCGCTGGGGGGCCCGGGCACGGGCCGGTGGCGCCCACCCGGGGGCGCGTGGCGGCGCGGGCTCGGCTGCCGGCGCGGGCGGGGGCGGCGGGGAGGAAGCGGCGGCGGCCGGTGCCCGCGCCCTGCCCCCACGGCCTCCGCCCGCGGGGTCCGGCAGCCCCGCGGGGCAGTCTCGGGACCGCGGCCCTCCCGCCGCGCGGGGCCGGGCGGGGGCGGGCGCCGGGGCCGGCAGGGCAGCGCCGCTTTGTGCGGGTCGGCGGCGTCGCGCAGCCTCGCCCTCCCCTTCGGGCGGCGGGGCCGGGCCGGGCCGGGGGCGCAGGCGGGCCGGCTGGCGTCCCGGACGCTGCCCGCGCTGGCCCTCCTCGGCGCCGACCCCGGGCACGGCTGGCGCCCGCCCCCGGCGCACCCGGCCCGGCCCGGCCCGGCCCGTCCCGGCCGCGCTGCCCGAGCTGCTCCCGGGGCGTCCGCGGGGCGCAGCCCGAGCTCGGGGGCGCGTCCGGGGCCGGCGGCGCGGCCGTTGCATAACGCGCCCCGCCGGAGCCAACTTTCTGGAGCCCGGCGCGTCTGATGCAACCGCGGCGGCGGTGGGTCCCGGTCCGGCCGAGCCCGCCCTCCCCCTACCGCCCCGGCTGGGGGACCCGGGCACGGCCCCGGGCTGCAGCGGCGCTGCCTGGCGCCGGCCGCGCTCCACCGGGCCGGGGTCCAGGCGAGCACCCGCCGAGTGGCTCGGTGCGGCCGTGCGGGGACCGTGCGGGGACGGTGCGCCGCGTGTGGACTCGCTGGTCTTCACACCCCGGCGGGCTGCGAGCGGGAGTGAGCGCGGTGCGCCCGTCAGCTGCCCTGGAGAAGTGTCTGCGCGCAGGACAGTCCCGGGCGCGTCGGCCCGGCGCACAGACCGCAAGCGCGGCCGCCGCCCCGCCCCGAGCCCGCAGCACCGTCGGGACCGCTCCTGCCGGCGCGTCCCAGCTAGGCCCTCACCACTGTACCGTCTCTCTGGCCCCAAACAGAAGCAGATACGTGCTTCAGAAGCTAATTTAAATGCATTTAAATTGCCCGTGTGTTATGAAGAAATTTTCCAAAATTGAGTGAAAAAGCATGACCTGAGCCCGAGAGGCGTTCTTTGGGGATTTTCACCCGGAAGGTGAGGGACCTTCCCTGAGTCGGTGGAAAGTATGCTTCGGAAATTTGTCTTGCAGAGATAGATGTTGCTGCGTATTTTCAGTTGAGCCCCGGCTGAAGTCCCGGCGTGTGGTATCGCTGTTTGATTCCACTGGAGACTGAAGCTGCTTGCTGTCTTCTGAGGGTTTTCTTCAGAAGCTGTCATAGATGGGTGGCAGAGGTGGCCCAGATTTAGGGTCCCGGTGGCTTACATGGAGAGGGGGGAGGGTAAGGGTATCTACTTCTCTGCCTACCTTGCCGGGGGCAGTGCCTGGGGAATCTGGACCTGAGGAGTCTGTGCTGGGACCCCCCGCACAGTCCAGACCTCATCTCACCAGCCCCTGGAAGCAGCTGTCATACTGCTGTCAGGCGTGGGAAACGATCCTTGTCTACTCATTTCTCCGGGAGCTGTGAAACCCAGGTTAGATGGAGGAGTTGAAAAGGGAAAAGGGAAGTCAGTCCTAAATCTAGGTCCACTGCCTTCCCTCCTGGAAAAGGTTTCTGGGGACGAATAGTGAAGCCTGACAAGTTTATTCGGGAAACAGAGAGGGAAAGGAAAGAGAGTGGGAGGGAGAGATGGATGGAGGGAGGAGAGAGTAAGAGCCTAGGATGGTGATGGGGAGGAGAGAGGAGTCTTGTATGACAGAGCACAGGCATCTCCAGAAGGGACCCTGCATGCTAAAGAAATGACACTTCTTGGGGCGATGCGGGCCAGGAGCATCTTTCCTCTGCTAGGATAGTTTAAACAATTTACCCAAGCTGCAGGGTGGGGGCATCCCCCTCCCCCCACCCCCACCTCTTCCTCCTGGAGAGCTCCAAGCTCTAGATCGTCCTTAGATATTCTTTGTTCCAGCTGTGGATCCTCTCCTCCCAGGAGTCCGGCCTGGAATTCCACGCCCAGAATTCTGCGTCTCAAAGTTCTTTCAGACTGGGCCTGGGTCTCAAAAGCTTTGATGCCTTGTGCTGGTTCCAGATGGCGCTTCCCCCAACCCAGATCACCTGGGAACCTAGCTTTCTCTCTGCAACAGGTGGCAGCAGAACTGTTTCAAGACAGAATGTAGGAAGTCTGTTTTAAATTATAATTATCAGAACACCATGTCATTTGGCCTTTCATAAAATTTGGGCTCCTTAACCAGGCATATAGAACATTGGTTAATGATTATCCCATCATTTCTTTGAAATTAAAGTTGCTAAACATTAAATAAATCTAACAATATCAAGCAGTTTAAAATGACATCTGAGCAGATGTCATATGGAATTATTAAGGTAGGTTCCTAAAGTCGTGGGAATTTACAACTGAAAGGAATTTTCTTCTATCCCAGTTTGACAGGGTTTTAAGTGTAATTTAAAGAGAGTTCCGCAGGTTTCTTTAACAAATCAAAGGAGGTGGGAGGGACTTTCCTTTGGTGGGAGGGGAATTTTTTTTTTTAATTTTTTTTAATTTATTTATTGAATCACTGTGGGAAAGGTTACAAAGCTTTCAGGTTTATGTCTCAGTCATGCAAATATCAAACACATTTCCCTTTACCAATACTTACTTTTTACCATGAAGAACCCCAATAAAACCCCACCCCCCACCCCTCCCCGTCCCTGTGAGGCAGATGAATTCTAGTTAACACTCTATCTGCTTTGATTAGATTCATTGTTTCAATAAAAGATTCACCACTATTATTTAGAGTTTAAGGTAAAGGCCCTCCCGTTGATCGTTGATCGTCGATTTGCTCGAGCGGGCCCAGTAACGTCTCCATTGGAGACTTTGTTGTTACTGTGTCTGGCATATCGATTTTACAATAAGAAGTCTTGTTATTTTATTTTATTTTTTGGGTCACATCCAGCAATGCACAGGGGTTACTTATGGCTCATGCACTTAGGAATTACTCCTGGCGGTGCTGGGGGGGGGGGGGGGGAATATGGTGCTGGGAATCAAACCCAAGTCGGCCACCTGCAAGGCAAATGCCCTACCCGCTATACTATCGCTCCAGCCCCAGTCTTGTTATTTTAAATACTGGGTTTTAAATAGTCAACCCTGTCTCCTAAACCTCTCTATGTGTGAGGACAGAAGGAGGTATTAAAGCTGATAAATTCAACAAATATGTGGGAAGGATTTGGGTAAGGGGGTTGGGCTTTATATTGGAAAAACCACTTTTGAAAAGCCACTTTTATGTTTTATTTCATGGTTATGATACTGTGGGATCTTTGAAATAACATTCCTTTACTGACCTTTTAAAAATAGTGGACTGAAAAAAATACTGGCAGTAAGTTCCTGTTTTCACACTGTCTTGACTGTAAATCTGCTCTTTAAAGGAACAAAATAATGATCAGCAGACTGAAGGAGCTGGGCTTGTTCCTTGAAGTGACTTGCCACCCCAGCATTCCTAGTTTCCTTCCTTTGTGAAAGTCTTGTTGAGTAATTCCCCTGGACCTACTGGTATACACTGGTCAGTCATGTTCCGTTGTGTGTGGAGTGGCCGTGGGCTGCAACCGGACTTTCTTACCAGGAATCCGGTCCAGTTTCCACCAAGGCCACCATCGGTCTGCTTTCCCCTCACTACTTCTGAGGCTAATGTGAGTAGATCTGTGGTTTCAGTTTGAAAGTGTTGTTAAAACAGGACAGTGCTGGAAATAAAGAATGGTTCTGGTTCTGGTTCTACAGTTAGAAGTGACATTGCTTAACAGTTGTCATTCACTGCATAAGAACTTGGTGTTGCTCAGTTGTGACACATACTTTCAAGTCACATACTTTCTGTTTGTTGTACAGGTGACATGCATAGGAATCTTTCTGGAGGACAGTGGAAGCTCATTCTGTAGCAGTAGTTGATATCCCTTGGTAGCTTGTTGTTAACTTATTGTATGGCGCTCGGGACCTCGAGAGTGTTCTGGTACCCTCTTGAATGGGCCCTTTCTGGAGTATAGACCTCCCTGCCCTCAGGCAGTTATCTGAGCAGAGATGCTCCTGAACTTGAGTCTCTAAGGTTACTGCCACTTTATCACTCTCCGCCATGTGTAAGCCTTTCCACAGCAGCTCTCAGATGCCAAGAATTGCTTCATACTCCTGGATCAAGATCATGGTCTATAACCTTCCCACATTCATACAGCTATAGTTTTGCCTCTAGCAGTGATTTTAGAATGGGAGGGGGTGGTTGGAGAGTGGGCCTACTTTCCAGGCAGCAGGGCTTCCTCAGAGATCCAATACCTGTTCTGTGGAGTGTGGAATCAAAGATGTGCAGACCCACCCTAGTTAGTTGCTTGCTCTTGGGAATCTCTGAAGAACACGCTCTCTTTTCCCTGGAAAATCCATATGAACGTTTCGAGTACAAAACTCTCTGGCTCTGTGTGGCAGAAGTTAGGGGTTATGTTGGGCCATGCTGGGCTGTGCTCAGGGCTTACTCCCGGCTCTATGCTCAGTGGTCTCTCTTGGTAGGACTTAGGGACCATATGCGCTGGTGGGGTGTGGGTGTGTGGTAGGTGTTTGGTCATGTGCAGGGCAAGTCTTCACTCTCTGCTGTCTCCCTGGCCCCATTCTCTCTGCCATCATCCGGAAAGCATACCTACAAAGCCAAGTGGTTTGTAAACCTTTTTAAAGGGTAACTCTTCTACCTGGGTCAGCCTCCGAGTATGCCCAGCAGAAGGGCTGGTCAGATGCTTGCTGGAGATCTCAGGACTGTAATCTTGGTTTCCTCACAGGCCTTCATTTGTGGTATGTCTCTGTGCTGTGGTTTATGCTGGTGATGTTCCACAGCTGGCCGGGGTCTGACCTGTCTGCCCGATTTCATTTCAGCTTGGCTGATTATAGTTAGGATATTACTTAAAGAACAGTTCCAAGAAA